GATCTTCGATATTGATATCCTCGTCAGATGCCCGACCGCGATCGATCGGAACTTCTCTATCCTGCGGAGATCTAGACCTTTCCCTCTCCTCCGCATCATCGCCCGCCTTAAAATCAGCATGACCGTCACGAGAAAAACCGGACGAATAATAGGCGACGGCACGACGGATCCTTTTCGGAGAAAAATACCCCCAATGAAGTGGGCCGCCACGTAGAAGATTCATAACCTCCGGAAAATCCTCAAGCANTCCCTCTCCTCCGCATCATCGCCCGCCTTAAAATCAGCATGACCGTCACGAGAAAAACCGGACGAATAATAGGCGACGGCACGACGGATCCTTTTCGGAGAAAAATACCCCCAATGAAGTGGGCCGCCACGTAGAAGATTCATAACCTCCGGAAAATCCTCAAGCATCGGCATCGGGAGGGCAGGCACTGCGAAACAAATGAAAAAGTTAAAACCTATATCTATATGTATATGGGTATCACGTTAATGGAATACCGTTTGTCACCCACGCAGCCCTAATCAAAGGAATACAACTCTCCTCCACCGATGCGCTGTCGATTTTGACATAAAAGAATCGGTAAATCCAATCGTGATCATTCGAGGCAAGCCCGCCAACAACCGTCATGTCCCGCCGGGGGGCTAAGTAAAAACCATCCTTTCTTCCTTTGAATGTCAACATAGACGAAAGATAATCCGCATCAAGGGACATTCCGCGTTCGTATCCCAACACCAGAATCCCGATAAGGTGCTGTAAGCCACTAGGGCGTAGTTGGCCGAATGGTACTCCAAACCTGTCCAAGAATTCGAAAATGGCTCGAGGAATAGGGAACCATAGCTGGCAGGTCAACAGAAAGGCTTCGTAGCACGTAAAATAACCCGGAGGCGGATCATCGGCACCCTGACTCTGGACAGGGATGCGAAACTGAACCGACTCAGGGATCGCATAGATATTTCTCAAATATCTGAGAGAACTAACAGTTCTCGAGCTCATGCCAACTGTTTTCTTCCGAGGTTTATCTTTCTTCGGAACCCAGAAATTCGAAGGCGGTACCTCCGCGGCGCTCACGGCTAAATAGTAGTTTGCAAACTCTTCCTTGGTCGTAAAGAAACGTTGAAAGACCGGCTCGGGAAGAGGACAGCCGCTGGGGTTTAGTTTTTAGGATATATGGTTTATGATTTGGTTACGATGTAGGGGTTAGGATATATGGTTTACGATTTTTGATTTATGGTTTCGCTTAATGACTTCAAAACATAAATGATTATAGATAACTAACCAATATATTTATTTGACGATAAATTATAACAATATTAACCTTTTAAAAAATTTAGACATGCAATTTTAATACAGAAGTATATAATTCAAATAAGAATACAAAATCTAAACTTTTGAGAATAAATAAAAAATTCTCTGAAAAACTTAAGTGATCGTGTGGATAGATATCAAGCGTGGAGAGACATTGTACATTAATATTCACCAAGGAAAATTAACTATATCTAAATTCTAAACAAAATCTTTGGACAATCTATATAAATCAACAAAAATATCAGTTGTCAGCTACTAATCCTATCTGCCTATTATCCAGAAGTTGTTTCGCCAAATAGCAAGGTTATTTCCGTCTTTCTCAACCCACATCTTATTTCACGTCTGCATAACTTTCACTGTGTTGGTAATTACCTAATATCGACTTCTTTCTTTGTTTTTCACTGTGGAAAACAACAGATTCATAAACTTATTAGATTAGCCGGTTACAAAACATAGGATACATAGACTTATTAGATTAACCGGTTAAGATACATCAAATACGGTAACTTATTAGATTAACCGGTTATTTTTATAAATATTTGACATCTAATTATTGTTGACTAACCCTATTGCTTGGACCATGTTATTAACCTGTGCTTGTATTCTAAATTGTATAACCATATATTTGATTAAATTACGGATATTTATTTTAATTAGCTAGCTAGACGAATGACGACCATATACACATCCAAATTTCTAAAACTGTTGTCTGGATGATATATATTGTACTTGCGGATTATTGTTTGGTTAGTATTATTTTACACATATAGCTAACAATTTCAAAATAACAATAAATTAGTACTTTTCATGTGCTTCATTGTTCCAGAGTGTTTAGCATGCTTAAGTTTTGAATGATAAACCCCGCTCATTGATTCACACAGAGATGTTACAAAAGATCGTTGTGACAGCCAGCTCTTTAAACGTAGGAAGAATCGTACGGAAGCTAGATGACATCATGATCGAAATCATAGAACAGCTGGTTCAGATTTTGATTGCTTCCACTCTGATTCCGGCGTAGATCGACACCATCATAAGATCCCACCATCAACTTTGGCGAAATCTTATCGAAGATTGATAAGAAGGAGAAAAATCTATCAAAAGCTCCACATTTTTTCATAGCCATTGTCTCTTATTTCTGCAAAAAATATTTGTATGTATAGAAACTAAATTTTTTAAAGGATAATTTTTTCAAAGGAATTGATATTGAGTTATGTTTCTGTTAGTAAACGTGTGACCAGGTAGTGATCTATAAATGTTACTATAACTATTAACCCTTCTTGAGAACACAAAAAAAAAATCTAGGACATATCTTTGCAAATATTTTTATATCTAACAAAATCTAGAATTTATTATTTTTATGAAAATATCTTAAAATGTAAATAAAACTGTGATAAAAAAATTTCAAGTTATGTGTCATCGTAAAATAAATTTATAATTTTCATTTGTTTTATGAATTATACTTTGAAATATTTTTTGACCCCATTATAAAAACAAATCTGGCTCACTAAATGGAATAGATGGTAGTCCATTTTTTACATGTTCTATTCTTTTTATTTTATTCCACTAGTTCCATTTTATATACCAGTTACAGACTTACAACCTAAATTTTCCAAATGTTGGTCTCTAATATTAAAAATACAATTTTTGTATAACTATCGTAATTGTTAAAAACGATAAAAATGAACTAGATTTTGATCCACGCTTAGAAAGTACGGGTTTATTTTAAAAAATATATAAATTCTTTTCAATTGAATTTCTGTATAATATAGTCTATATGTTTGGATATATGTATTTAAAGCCAGAACCAAACCATACCAAATTGAAAAACAAAAATAAAAATTGAACTGAATTTCACAAACAATCGAGTATTTTTAAACATGTTGGTCGTATATGACTCAGATTGGCCTATGTTCTTCAAGTAACATTGTATCAGAAGTTCTGTCAGCTGATATGTTTCCATAAAATTTAGATTTACTTAAAATTTAATAAATAAAATTTAGTAAACCCCAAAAAACCCCGCCATTAATCCGTGAAACTGACACTTGTTGATCCAGCAAAAACTCAGAAAATATTCTAATATTTTTTATAATTAATGTAACTTCTCATATATTTGATTTATCGTATAAAATAAATTCATTGTATCTATGTTATACATTTTAATTTATAGGTTTTGTAATGATCAATACTATTACAATTTTAATGCAGATATTTTATTAATTAAAATTTTAATAAAACCCAAAACCCCGTCATTAACCCGTGAAACCGACAATGGTTGATCCGGCAAAAACTCAAAAAATATTACAATATTTTAAAGTTTTTGATTTAACTTCTCATATATTTGATTTATTGTATTTATGTTATAAATTTTAATTCATAGGTTTTGTAATGATCAATATTATTATTATTTTAATGTACATAATTTATTTATTTTGTTTAGAATATACAATAGGTTAAGACCAATTAATAAATTAAATATATGATTGGTGAAATTGGCTTCTTGATAGGTCATAGATGCAATGAATTAAATTAATGGATGTACATAGTTTAAGCATACCAATATAAATTATATATCTACAAATTATATAAACAGAATTTTCATATCTGATTTGGACCCGCGGTCCGGTAAATCGGGCTTACTTTTTTCATGTAGCATACAATTAGAAGTTTTACCAACTAATATGTTTCCATAAAATTTGGATCTAATGAAAATTTTAATAATTACAAATTCGAAAAAACTCAAAACCCGTCATTAACCCGATTTATCATATAAAATAAATTCATTGTATTTATGTTATAAATTTTAATTTATAAGTTTTGTAATGATCAATACTATTACAATTTTAATGTAGATAATTTATTAATTCAAAATTTAATAAAACTCATAATCTCGTCATTAACCCGTGAAACCGACAATGGTTGATCTAGCAAAAATTCAGAAATATTACAATATTTTTAAAAATTTGATTTAAATTCTCATATATTTGACCCCAGTATAAAAAAAATCCTCACTCTGCCATTAAATGGAATTAATGGTATTACAGTTTCCATTAAATGGAATTGATGGTATTACAGTTTTTACATGTTCTATTTCGTTTGTTTTATTCATTTTTATTCTACTAATTCCATTTATGTACTCCCTTCGTTTCAGAAAGTTTATATGTCGTTTTAGAAAAAAAAATTGTTTCAAAATAAGTGTCGTTTTATAGTTTTGATGCAGAATTTACTAAAATTTTATATTTTTAATTTTTTTTATTGGTTGAAATGTGGGTTAGGAGTATAGGTAATTGTGTTTTTAATTTGAAAATGTTTGTGTAAAAACCTAAAACGACAAATAACATGAAACGAAATGAATACCAGTTACAGACTTACAATCTACATTTTGCAAATGTTGGTCTCTAATATTAATTGTTAAAAACGATAAGAATGAATATGTGCTATGAACATTAATATTCTTTATCTTTTTCGAGAACCTTATATTTTTTTCTTCTTCAAAGTTCCAGTTATTCTCTCTTTTTGGTCACTTTCTTTATTTATTCTCCAACATTCGTTTATTCTTTTTAGCAAAAAAACAGTTCGTTTATTCTTAAAAGAATTCAAAACTCCATGTACAAACCGCGTAAAGTGCAAAAATGTAATTCCAAGTATAAACTCTAACTATAAATACTGTCGCCACTATTCCCCATAAGCTTTACCCGGGAAGAGATACACAAATCTTACTCAAGAAAAAAATAAAATAAAAAATGTTCTCTCAGATGAATGAAGATTCTCTGGGAATGTCTCTATATTAAAATATATCTTTCATTTTGATCTTCATCCTCTTCTTTTTTTTCGTTCTTGATTTTCTTGTTTCTTGATCTGTCTTTTGTTTTTTCAAAACGATGGGACTTTGCCTCTGTTTGTTAGCAACTCCGGCGACATTGTTTTGGACGACGAGTTTCTTCCGCCACAAACTCTTGATTCTCTAACGAATTGTTTATTCACATCATCCCACTTAGTATCACATTTTTAGGTTTTTCATTTCTTCTTGATTTTTACTTTAAACATCTCAATGGATCCAAAACACGATCGAGAATCAAGATCAAGATCGGCTCCAACAGGTGAAATCGATAATCAACCGGCTGAGAAAAAGCGCCGACTAACATTTGAACAAGTATATAGTAAGACAAGAGTTCGAGAATGAAACGTATTTGCTGCTTTAGTTTTTTATTTTATTTCTTTTATGTTAGGTGAATATGTTGGAGAAGAGCTTTGAAGAAGAGAACAAACTGGAACCAGAGAGAAAGACTGTGCTAGCTAAAATGCTTGGATTGCCTCAACGACAAGTAGCTGTTTGGTTTCAGAATCGAAAAGCTCGGTGTAAGGTCAAGCAGATCGAAAGAGATTATGATGTTCTTAAGGCTTGTTATGATTCCCTCCTGGCTAAACATGAATCAGTTGTCTCCGAGAATGAGAAACTCAGATCTAAAGTAAAAGCAAAAGCTCCTCTTTTCTCGGGCTTTCCATTGAGCTCAGTTTCTAACATGAGAGACTTTGTGTTTGCAGGTCTTAACTTTGACTGAGATTCTACGTCCTGCAACAAACCAAACCCAAAGACACTTCCAGCACAAGCTTAAATCTAAAACTGATGATGAAACTATGAGCTCTTCCACTGCTTTAGTTCCATTGGCAAATGACTATTACTTCACCCACATTGATGAATCATTCGACTGGTGGGTTTGGCCAACGGTTTAGATAATAAGTTTATGTTCTAAACATGGGCAAAGGTTGAGTAGACTATATAACATAGTGTTGAGTTGTTGACATATGATAAATAAGAGTTTTATAAAACCACATATTACAAATAACTATTTTAATATAATAGATATTACATGGATCCATTATTAGCTTCTACTAATTTTTCTGTTATACTTATTTTTATTTATGTAAATCAATCAAAATCTAGTCGGTGTTGGATTTTATTTAAAGAGTCAAGAACATAGACCCTACAACAACGAACATAAGCATTAGAGCCAAAGACTTTTGAAATTAAAGTAATTGGTTTATGCAAGATTTCATTTTTGTTTTGGCTAACACAAAGAGCCAAAAACTCGTAATCTGAACCAAGACTAGATTGTGTATGACCACAAGTCAAAAGTTCTAGTTTGTCTACCCTACTTGCGTGTATCACTTAAAATTCCCACACTAATCAAGAAAACTTAGAAAATATACAAAAGTGAAGTATTAAGTAGATGTAATCAAGAACCACCATGTATATTCAATACTCAATAGTGAATTTGCTGAGAGAGTAAAGGAAAGTATATTGAAAAGAGGAAAGAAAAGAGAGGCAGTGACTCTAAAGTTTAAAGTGAAGAAAAAAGAGGCAAAGATAACAAAATAAAGCTAAAGCATCAGTCGTTAAGAATCCATTAACTTTGATCCCAAAATCATTAACAATCTTTTAAGCAATATGTTACAACAGATATTAGCAAACACCTCCAAAATATAATCAGTAAAACCTAAATCTTATAGATGATTCGGTTGAAAAATGAGTAAATGATACTACTACTTTTTGTCGTTCTTATGATCTTCCATCCATGGAAGTTTTGGAAGATCATCGAAGTTAAGTGATGCCGAAGGCAGCCTTCTTTGAGTATCTGTAGAGAATTTATCTTTCTTTGGCCACAACCAAATCTTGGAAACCGAGAAACTCTCTCCTTTAGCCACAACACTAATTATCTTCTTCTCTTGTGATGATGAGTCCCCAATCTGCTCCAGAGATTCTTTGTCCTGAGGTTTCAAAAGCCGTTGCCTATCTTTGCAAAACGGGACTTTAAGCTCGGAGTTACCGAGTATATACTGATATGAACCCATTGAGAAACATCTCCTTGCATCTAGGTTACTACTACTAGTCTCTCCACCAGCATGATCTTCTTGTCCACGACCAACATTGTCAAGCCTCTTGAATTTACCTAACCGCACTGGTAAAACCCCTTTCTCCACAACGATTTCTTGAATCTCTACAGCTTTCTCGGCGACACAGTCTTCGTCTTCTCTTATATCATCGTAGTCAAACATGGGATTCTCCATGGAGAAACCAGGGGAGAAGAGAGTGGCACGACAAAGAGGACAAGTCGAGTTTGACTGAAGCCAAGTGTCTATACAGTTGAGATGAAAAGCATGGCTACACATGGGCAACAACCTCAGCTTATCTTTCTCAGTAAACTCACAGAGACAGACCGCGCAATCGAACGGCTCCTTGGAGGCACCAACCATTTCTTTGTAGTGAAAAACAGGCAAAGCGTCGATGAAAGCTTGGTCAAGACCAGAGTCATTAAGATGGAACAGCTGTTGAAGCTGTCTTTGAAGAGCATCACTAGTTGAGATCTCTGGGTATCTATTAGACCTAGAAGCGGAAGGATGCTTTGTGAGAAACCTAACGAGCAAATGAAGAAGGCCAGAGATGAAGAACAAGACAGCTAGAATCACAATTACGAATAGAACCGCCGGGCTGGTTCTGTTACCGGACGACTGTGGCGGCGGAGAGAGAACTGGGTCTTCGTAAAACGGTGGTGGGTACGCAAAGGTGCCCTCCTTTTGCTCAATTGCTAATCGAACCCAAGACATGTTTGCAAGAAGATCTCAATTATCAAAATCTAGAAAATGGAACAAAAATAACAACAAGAGCTCCAAGTTAAGTGATGACGATAAAATCGAGAGGAAGAACAGAGATACGCAAATACTCACCTCAAAGCCCCCACAGATTCACAACCCTAATCAAAGAGGGCTTGGTTCTTCTTCGTCTTCCTTGTCAGATTTGCAGAGGAAGATGAGAGTAAAGTAACTCTTTTTCTCTCTTTCTCCTCAGTCTCTCTCTCTCTTACCTTTTCTTTTATTGAGCTTTAATGGTGGAAATAGAAAACCACAAGAAAATGGCAATGTGATGTAATTTTTCGAAGTGCGAGGCAAAGTTGGAAAACAACATGTAACAAGGAAATAAAGTAAAAGCTTTGAATATCATTTTTTTATCTATTGATACAAGTTGTCATTTAAATTTGTAATGTTATAAATAATATAAGTTATATAATTAATTGAACCGTATTACTTAAATTAAACCAACACAATTAATGTAAAAAGACGACCTTAATGTAAACTATTTTCAAAATACGGCATATATCTATATGTATATCAAAAACACATATTTTCTCCTACAAATATGGAATGTTCTAAAAGAATATATATCATCAAAATATGAAATATAGAAATCTACTAATTATACTTAAATTAAACCAGTGGTTATTTATAAAATATAGTCTTGAGCTTACTTTTATTTTTTAAACAAATTATATAGTTTGGTTTTTGGACTTACTATTAAGAAAAAACTCCAAAAAACATTGAATAAACTTTTCACCTTAAAAGATAAAAAAAAATCAATTATTATTTTCAGACCCAAAGGTATTTAATATTTTTAACAAAACAAAATTATCTATTATTAATCATTTATTTAAATCATGTACTTTAAAACATGTTAATATTCTTTTTTAAATAACAATCACTTTGTTTTGATAAATTTCATTTGTAACTTTTAAATAATTTATTGTTTTATTTTTCTTATGTAATTTACTGATTAAAAACAATGTAAAGCAAAACCAAAAGCCAAATCTAAAAACTAAAATTCAAAACCAAAAGCTGAAAACACAAGTTATATTTTTTGCTTTGTTTATTTACAAAATAAACTATTTCAATTTTTTATTCAAATTTGTTGTCATCTTTTCAGTTTTAAATTAGATGTTCGATTATTTGAGATTTGTTTGTTGGTAATATCAGTTCAAACTAACCCAGCGAGTTTAAAAATTAAAAACTCAAACCAAAAACTGTAAATGAAAAGTAGAAACTTAAAAATTTAAAACCAAAATCTAAAAATAAAAAAGTGAAACTAAAAACTAATGAAAAACAATCATCACCATAAATTTTAGTGAACTGATTTTATATCAAAATATTCTTTAAATTAAGACAAAGCCCAATTATATAAATTTTAGTCAAAGAGCTATATAATTGCTAATATGATTCTTGTGGTGTGCAGTAGATCAAAATTTAGTGAAAAATTAAATTAAAAAGCTTTTACATTTGGGCCCACGTGCATAGATGAACGAGAAGTTGATGTCAGATGGTCAACTCGAAAGACAAAAAATGACGGTTTCCTAAGTCTTTGGTCTTATGTTAGATCCGTACTGGGTCGGACAACACAGCCCAGTTATATCATCCAAATCTAACCGTTGGATAAGCGGACATGCGATCTGGTTTCGGGTTTACTTTATCTGTTTTATTAAACCAATCAATTTACAAACCAATCCGTTTTGGATTTTATTCTAGTTAATTTGGTCTGGTTTGGTTCCGACGCTGATGCAATTGCAGCAGAACTGAACTTTCAAAGCACTTGAAAATACCAAAGCAAAGTCTATCTTTATCAATCATCATCACTGAAAAAAAATTTCAACTTACGAACTAATTCTGGCTCAATTTTGTTTTTCGATAATTTGGTTTCGTTTAGTTTTCTTTGTCTTTATCAATCATCATCATTGGAGGAAAATGTTCAAAGGAAGTTATATCCTTCAGTTGTTGGATGGTTGAGCTAATGTAGGTTAAAGAGCTATATAATTGCTAATATGATTCTTGTGGTGTGCAGTATTGCTCTAAGTCAAGTTGGATTTCTAGTTATGGAATATTACTACTTTCATATTCAGATATTCTCTTTCGCTGATAATAACTTTAAGATAAACGTTACCATTTAGCAAGCATACTGGAACTGTTCAACCAACAACAAGATTATTTCTTAAACTCATTTTAGTTAAGAGAGAGTTTATTTTTCTTAGAACCTATCTATCATGAGAGAAGAAGAGACAGAGGCGTGGAGGTACTTTAGAAGAGATGTTGTGCCGTTTGCTGCCATGTTTGCAGTGGAGTGTGCAACGGTTGGGTCAAGCACACTGTACAAGGCTGCTACCTTAAGAGGATTGAACTTCTATGTCTTTATCTTCTACACTTATGTTATTTCTACACTAATACTTCTTCCACTTTCCATCATCTTTGGAAGGTATTCATCTTTCCTCGTCTACTCTTTGATGATCTACCTTTTCTAAGGAAATATGAACTTGTTTTTGGCATATACATGTAGGTCAAGAAGATTGCCTGCAGTCAAGTCTCCTCTCTTCTTCAAGTTTCTCTTACTTGGGCTTGTCGGGTAATACTAATATGGTCATGTTTCTAGATTTATGGGATTTTCATGGTGGCTGTTCTGTAGTTTCCTAATTTTGGAGGATCAGGTTCATGGCAGTGATGGCTGGTTGCAAAGGAATAGAATATAGTTCTCCTACTGTTTCCTCTGCTATCAGCAACCTCACACCAGCTTTTACCTTCACCCTCGCAATTATCTTCAGGTTACACCTCCTTCTCTTTCTTTATGGTAGGCTATTTCTGTAACTCTTAACTCATTATGGTTCTTAAAGGATGGAAAATGTAAGGTTAAGGAATTCCGCGACTCAGGCTAAAATCATTGGCGCAATAATATCTATTTCTGGTGCTCTGGTTGTTGTGCTCTATAAAGGCCCCACACTCTTGGCTGCTTCGCTTCACAAGCAATTGACTTCATTCGAGTCCAGGTGGATAATCGGTGGCCTTTTGATTGCTTTACAGTACTTTCTTGCATCAGTCTGGTATATTCTCCAGGTACAAACACTTGAAAATTGGTTAAACATATTTAGGTTGCTGTTGAGTGTTGAAACATTAAAATCTTGCTAAACTCGGTAGCTGTGTATGTTTCAGACTCGAATCATGCAGATATACCCTGAAGAGATAACTGTTATCTTCTTATACAATCTATGCGTAACACTAATCTCAGCACCAGTATGTTTGTTGGGGGAAAGCAACTTCACTTCTTGGATGCTTAAACCGGATATTTCACTCGCTGCAATAATGTACTCGGTGAGTACCTGTTCTTATAATCTGCTTCCATTAGTGACCATATTTTAAGACGTCAACACTGTTTCAGGGAGTTTTCGTTTCGCTATTCAGCGGGCTTACCCACACATGGGGTTTGCATCTGAAGGGTCCTGTATACATATCCTTTTTCAGGCCATTGTCTATTGTTATTGTAGTAGCCATGGGTGCTATATTCCTTGGCGATGCACTTCACCTCGGGAGGTGCCATTATCTTTTCATCTTCTTCTTTTGTAACTTGGTCTCCACGTTTGAGAGGTAATTATAATCACGAATATGTGTTTGCGTTCAGTGTGATTGGATCAGTGATATTGTGCATTGGATTCTACACGTTGATTTGGGGAAAAGCAAGAGAGGATACAACCAAAACTGCAGTTGGCTCTGAGCATTATTCACCTTTGCTGCTTACACACATTGTAGAAGATGAAGCCTTGTCAATAAGATAGGATTGATGAAGTGAATATTATGCATTGTAAAATGAAAACTGGAAGACTCAAAAACAATACAACTCTGAAAATATTAAAGTTACCAATGCTAGCAAATAACATTTTAAGTTATAATATTAAAACTAGATTAAGATTATTTATAATTTATATTATTAAATTACAATTAAATGATTAGTAATATTTTTTAAACTCCGGTTCGTGGTAGAGTGTATTTATTGATTCCAGTTTGTCTACGAATTTTTATTTTTGGTTTATCAGATATATTAATAATTTAGTTTTTTGAAATACAGTTATTTAGATTTACTTAAAATATGTATGTTATGAAGTAATTAAAAAAATTAATAATAAGATATTTATTTTTCCAATGAAAATCTTGGTCAAATGAATTAATGTTTGATAAGATATTGTGAAGATTGGAGAGAATTTGATAATGAATTTATTTGGTTAGTCAATTGTGATTTTATATTAAATTCTAAATAAAAAAAATATGTAAGAAAGGGGGAAAGAGAGGGAGATATGGTGATGATAAGGATTAGAGAGTCGATTATGATCATAATGAAGATGAAAGTGAATATAAGTGAGAGACTGAATATAAGTGTGATAGATTCTGAAATCATTTATTAATATTATGTGAAAGTGTTTAGAAGATTTAACAAAATGTGGTGAAAATTTTGCAACCAAAGAGAGATAGAAAGAGTTTTAAAGTGAAATATTGAGGATTATATTAAGGACGAGGGTAAGCGAATGAATATATGTGATCGCGAGAGAGTGAATGTAAATTTGAGAGATTTTGAGATTATTTGATCAACTAAGAGAGAGAGAGAAAGAAAAAGAGAGCAAGAGAGGTGTACAAAAACATAAAAAATAATGCAAAGAGAGATACATAAGAAATAAAACAAATGTGTGAAAAAATACAAGGAGAAACGAAATGAGTAAGATAGAAAAATATATTAAAAAAACAGAGTATCTATATAAAAGAGAAAGAAAGTTACAATATATTTATACATTTATATTATTTTTTATTCATGCAATGTATAGATTATATTAATTTCCGCACAGGCGTGCGGGTCATTCACCTAGTTACAATTAAATGATTAGTAATATTTTTAAAACTCCGGTTTGTGGTAGAGTGTATTTATTGATTCCAGTTTGTCTATAAATTTTTATTTTTGGTTAATCAGATATATTAATATATTTATGCATTAGGGTTTGGTTTGAGTTTTGTTATTGTGGTTTTCAGTTTGAAATATTTCACACAAACTATATAAAATTTTACCTAATTTAATTAAAATATCTTTATTTTTATTTTTTGAAAAACAAATGAGTATTTTTAAAAAATTCTAACAAAACCTTTGAATACTTTTTTTTCAGAATCTTTTAGAATTTATTTTCTAAAATTACTTAATTAAAATACTAATTATCATAAAATATAATTAGAGATTAAAATTAATTTACTTTTCATCTATAAACTACAATAAACAATAATAAAACTGATTATTGTTGTTAGTCATAAAAATAAGAGTATTTTTAATATCTCTATAATATTATTTGAGAAGTCACTTTCCTATGTGTCGCGCTCACGTTAACTCTCACGTTGGTTGATTACTATGATACCCCTAATGAATTAAAAAAATGTATTTAAATATTATTTCCTTTTAAAAATTTTCCAAATAACAATATAAAATAAAAATGAAGCATTTATAAAGTTTACAAAACTATTTAAAAACGAAAATATAAGTATATATAAATATAGATTCATAAAAAAGGAAAGTTCACAAAATAGTAATATTTAATTTTAATATATTTTAAAAAACATAAAATATACTTTTCAAGTAATAAAATACTTTATATCTATATCTTCTTAGATGAAAAACAATATTTGTATATAATGTGATTCCATAAAATAAGTTTACACAACTAATCTTGATATTAGAAAAAGAAATTTGTTTATTATTTTTAAAAAATAATTTTAAACAATATATATATATATATATATTTTCAAAGTAATTTTTTGTATATATCTATATATTTTATTAGATGATTACATAAAATAATTAAGTAACATAAACTGATATATGTTTAACTGACAAATTTCTTTATAATTAGTATTCTTGAAATATTTTTTTTTTTTTAGTATATTTATTTGACTATAATATCTTACAATTACAGCAAAAATATAAATTATATTTTAATTATATAATATAATTTCTCAAAAACAATAAATTTTTTACTGCATGTTTTAAGAGATATTAAAAACAAAACTAAAACTAAATTTTAATAATAAAAATTTGTTGATCAAATAACTAAAATTATTTAAAATATCATAACACTATATGATTTAACAAAGAAAATATATTATATTTTAATATTAAAAATTATATGTTTTCTTAATAAATCTTTTGATTTTTAATTTTCTGTTTTTATGTTTGTGGAACTTAATATAACCATAAACAAAATACTTAAGCAAATCAGATCCTTATTTTTAAAATTATTTAAAATAAATTTCGATTTACCATCCAATCAATCTAAATATTGCAAATATTGATATGTGTTCATAACCTTCCAAAAATTTATTAGTTACTTATGTATGTAATTTAGAATCACACAATTTTGTTTTTTATTTTATTTTTCTATGCACAAAAAATCTTAAGTTATACATAATCTTACTAGATATACTTATATTTTTAAGATAAAAATTGACATAAATGCAAATAAGACAATTAATCAAAAATGTAATATATTTAGAAGAAAAAAAACTATAGTTGAATTCAGAGAAATATATAGAATCTAATATATCCAAATGATAACTAAATTAACTGTAAAAACAATAAAACTGGCGAAATATAACATATCTAAAATTATATATATAATTAAATTAATATAATATTATTAATATAAATTCTATCTAGAAATTATAAATTAATTTAAAATTTAAAGTAAATATTAATCAATTATTATAATATATTTATTTTATAAATATTTATGTACGTGCATGAGCATGGGAAAATCACCTAGTTGTAAGTAAATTAAGAGGATTTAAAAAAAAAAATCTCATATCTATACTATTATTTAAGAAGTAAATTTGCTTAGTTATCAACTTCTCCATGATTTTAGGGTATTTTGCTTATTCTCATGTTTTAATAATTTATTATATAGTAAAAACGAATTTATGCTAATAATATTATATTTTTAGAAAATATATTAATTCTTTTGTATTAGATTGTTATCTTAAATATATATTTCAATTATTATTTTAGAAGTAAATTTGCTTAGTTGTCAACTTCTCCATGATTTTAGGTTATTTTGCTTATTTTCATGTTTTAATAATTTATTATAAAATAAAAAAAGAATTTATGTTAATAATATTATATTTTTAGAAAATATGTTAATTATTTTGTATTTGATTGTTATCTTAAAAATATATTTTCAATTATAAAATTTAAGTGAATTTTCTGATTAATTAGTAACTTTCACGTTGAAAGTTAGAGCGGTTAATATTGTTTATATCCTTAATGAATAATTAAATTTTTTAATATAATTAAACATAAATAAAAACGAATTTCAATGATTTTAGATTTATCTTTATCTAAAACTATTTTATATTGGGTTATAAACTCTTTTTAACCTTGAAAAATAATTATATTAGTTAATATATAATTAATTATAAATTAAAAATGAATTTCATTTATTTAATAATTATCCTTATTTTAATGTTTTTATATTATGTGATAAAGTCTTTATCAACCTTGAAAAATAATTATATTTGTTAAAATATAATTAATTCTAAATTAAAAAATGAATCTCATGAATTTGATAATTATATTTATCTAACTTTTTTATATTGTGTTATAAAGTCTTTATTAACGTTGAAAAATAATTCTATTTGTTAATATATAGTTAATTATGAAAAATAAATTCGCAAAGAATTTATGTATAGATAATTTATATTGTGTTATCCAAAACATTATTAAAGATAATTTTTTTTTACTTTTTTGTTATATCTAAAAATAATATTAATTTATTACTAAATGTTTTAAGTTCATGATTATTTTCAAATATAAGTTGTGTAATGAAAATTATTTTTATGATGATGAAAAATTTTATATATAGAAAGATTTTGTTTAGTTTATTATTAAATATTTTGATTCTATGAACTATAATTTATTATAATTTACATAAATTGATTATATATTTATTTATAGATATTAGTAAAATTATTAAGCCCGCAAGTGCGGGCAAAACACCTAGTTTTAATTGTATTAATATCTATTTATCTATGTATAATAACAAAGTTGCCTTTTTTTTCTCCGTTGGGCAAAAACACCACCTGTCAGTTTTATACGCTGCGTTTTCTGTTTATTGATTTTGTTTCGGCCATGCGGTTTTCCTTTAATTGTTTCGGTTGGGCTTTTGATATTCTAGGCCCAGTGATGAGCATATCTTTCATCGTCACTTTGCTTTAGAGCAAGACCCTGTCCGACGAATTCCAAAATCTTTAAACAGAAAACCTTTTTACGATTTCTTATCCATAACAGTTTATTTATTCATAATTTGCTCGCAGCTTCTGCGTAATTAATCAACTCCTTCACTGTGGAAACCGAAATTCACCCCTATCGATTTTAAGTAAATAAAAGAACTTAGGAAAAATCCTAATTTCCCAAAGGACCCGACTATCTACGGAACCGCACACAAGCAATAGAGTAAACGATGAGAATAAGTAAAAGATGTTAAAAACGAGACTGAGAGCAAGAAAAATCTTATTCCGATTATGTGTAAGAGTGGTACAACGAGGTAAAGCCTTGGCTACAAGGGCTGACGACGAGTTTACTAGTTCTAGCAACCTAAGTCTAAGCCCTAGTTGAGACCCAGCTCGATAACAAAAATGAAAATATTTCTAAGTGCCAAGTTTTGGTGGTGAGAGCTCTGAAAATCATGTCTCTTCTTCTGTCCTTGGCCTTCTGCTTATATACTCCCTCCTTAGGTGGTTTAGTCCTTCCTTT